ACACACACACACACACACACACACACACACACACACACACACACAACAAATATGTGCCAGACTCAAACAATACCTCTGCCATAACCATTTGTGATTGTTTTCCTCCTTTCAAGTAATGTCAGATTTTCTATTTCTGCATTGTTTTGCCTCCTCATTGACTTTTTTTTAGTTTTGTTATTGTTGACAATGATGCTGGAGCCCTGTCTTTTGTAACAAGATGGCATTTCCATTAGTGCATTTTATCTTCTGTCATCAGGAGTGGCAGTGCTGAAGCCTGTGTGCCAGAAATGTGATTCTTGTTTGGCTAGGATGCTGAGAAACACCAACCGGTCTATGGGAATCTGATTGTCAGGCCTTAAGTGATTCTCAGGATTTAGAATTAGATAGATCTATACTGGCTTTCGAATGTTTGCAAACCATTTTGTTTGTGTTTTTATTATTATGTTTCTGTTTTTTTAAGCTCTGAATGTGACCTGTAACATCAAATCTGCTAAACAAAACTAAACATATACAAACCGTGTCAGAGAGAGGTTTTTATACCAGAACACAACCGCTGTGACAAAACCATGGAGAAGACGCATCATCGTGAAGAGTGTTAACCAATATGCAAATTAGCCTGCAGTACCACTGCCCAACCCATATGAGCAGCAAAAAGTCGTTTTTTGACCAAATATTACAGATTTGAACAAATACGCACAAAAACATCAAAATTAGCACAGAAAAAGTATTATATAACATTTTAGACATATTCTAGATAGTTTATCATCTTAAAAAAGTTAATTTGGGGGTGAGTTACTCTTTAAGTCCTGGAAATTTTCAGCTTTTTCAGGATCTTGGACAGTTCCTTCAGTCCTTCGCACTGTCTAAAGTCCTGAAACATTTCAGCACTTTCAGGACCTTGGACAGTTCCTTCAGCCCTTTCCACTGTCTAAAGTCCTGTAACTTTCCAGCATTTTTGGAACCTTGGGCAGTTCCTTCAGTCCTCCGCACTCTCTAAAGTCCTGAAATATTTCAGCAYTTTCAAGACCTTGGACAGTTCCTTCACTCCTTCACACTGTCTTAAGTCCTGAAACATTCCAACACTTTCAGGACCTTGTACAGTTCCTTAAATCCTTTACACTGTCTTAAGTCCAGAAACATTTCAGCACTTTCAGGACCTTGGACAGTTCCTTCAGCCCTTCACACTGTTAAAGCACAAGATGGAACAATAGTTAAAACATCATGCAAAAAAAATGTTAGCTAACAGCTAAAGGTAACATAGCAATAGTTAAAAACCAAATTAAGTAATTTGCTACTTAAGTAGCAAAAGCCAAACTAACAACTGAAGGTAGCAAAATAGTAGCTAAAATCTAAACAAAGCAAAAGATCAAGTAAAACTAAAATTTCCAGACGAATGACTAAAAACTAAATGTAGTAAAAGTTTAGATGCTCATTAAAAGTAGCAAAAAGCTCAAATTTAACAGAACTGCAGATAATAATTTCTTTGTAGCAAAACATAGTTACAGGCGAGACGTAGCAAAACAGTAGCTAAAAGTAGCAGAAGAGTAAAATCTAAATAAAACTTAGATCTTTAATAAAAAGTAGAGAATAAAAGAAAAAGTTTCATGTTTGAGCAGATTCATTCCTTCAGTTTAGCAGAGTGAGTTATAATATGAAACATTACTTCTAGCAGGTAAAGATCATCAAACTATCAGGGTTTTTCAGGTGTTCCTGCTCCCCCCCCCCCCCCCCCCCCCCCCCATGGATAAAACGACATCAAACCTTTTCTGGCATTTCGTCTGAACTAAACTTAATTTCATGAAAACAGAAAAAGAGAAGCTCAGAGTCACTGAGGTGAAACTGTTACGTCAGAAACTGCAGGAGACAGCCGAGCTGTGCTCAGCTCATGTTCTGCTGATTTTCAGCTTTGCTCGTCCTCCAGGTGTTTGAACCTGCTGAAAATGAGTAATTATGTCTGAGGGGAGGGAAAAAAGACAGAAAACAGAGCTGGGATTTGACTTTGCTTTGGTGAGTTTCAGCAGTTCTGCTTTTAAAAAAAATCKGTAAACTTGACGTTCCACTGAGAAAAAGTTAACTTAAAAAATGTAAGGTCTGTGGGCCAAATCTCGCCCTTTTTAACATTTTATCTGACCCTTATGTTATATTTTAAAAATATAAGATCACATCAGTTGAGTATCTTTTTACCTAATTTTTTTAATAAAAAAACCCCACAAAAAACCACTCATACGCTCATTTCATTGATTTTGTAATTTTTATGTGGATGGAAACATCAAGCAAGTCAATCAAATTGTTATTGATGAACTTCAGGTTTCTGTGGTATTAAGATTAATCGGTTACATCGCTGCTCAGTGTGAAAATGTTTATCCACTGAAAAAATGTAAGAATAAATAACTTTCATTTATTCAGCTAAAACAAACAAAAAACCTAAGTTTTAGATTTGTGAGCTGCAGATGGGAAAATCTGCCGAACATCTTCAAGATTTGAAAATTGAGGAATCAAAACTCTTTTCACGCTTTCAGCAGGTTAGAGTCAAGAAAAGTGGTATCATCACAACAAAGTATCAAAATCTGAAAATAAAATAAAAAAAGCTTTTTTACTTTTTTTATTATTATTTTAAGAAGCTCTTAAGAAGTCCAGCTTCTCTCCAGACGTGACACTTTGTGGAGTTAAGGGGAAAATTGAATCTGTATTTGTGCTGAGTGGTTTTGCAGTTGTCAGAACAGATTTTACGGATCTGCTGTGACTGAACAGCACGAAGAAAATTTATTTCCCAAGAAGACAAGCAGACTTTATTCATGAAGAGGTTTCACTGCGGGAAATAGTCTAAAATCTCTTTAAATGGATTCCTATGTTCCTCTGAAATGACTAAAAAAACAAGTAAACAATTGTAAAAATACAAAAACATAAAAAATATTTTTTTTACATTTAAACTTTGTACCTAACATAAATAGGTACATTACTCAGTGATACATGTTCTTAGCTAGTCTTCTGCAATGTTTAGCTTTTAGCTGGTTGTTACATTTAGCTTGTAGATAGCCTTTTGTTTACATTTGCTTTAAGCTAACTTTTTTGTTATTTTTAACTTCTACTTAGCCTTTTAAAACTTTTACTATTAAGCTAAGCATTTATTTACTTTGAGCTTTTATAAATCATTTTGACACATAGCTTTAAGCTACTGAGACACCTTTTAGCATCTACTCTTGTGCTACTTTTAGCTTTTAGTCAGCTTTTTGCTCTTTTAATTTATTTTCTTCGTAATCTTACAATAATTTAAACTTCTTTTACGTTTRGTGACTAGTTTTGGTACTTTTACCATTACTTTTTTATCTTTTAGCAATCACTTTCATACTTATAGATTGCAGGCAGCCTTTGTTAATTTTAGCTTTTAGCTAATTTTTAGAACAAATTTTTGTTACTTTTAGCTTGTAGTTAGCCTTTTCATGCATTTATCATTAAGCTAGACTTTTTTTTAGCTTTTATCAATCATTTTAATGCTTCTAGCTTATAGTCATTCTTTTATTACTATTAGCAAAACTTTTGCTGCTTTCATCTGTGCTTTTACTATTTTTAGTTTCTAGCTAACCTTATGCTACATTTAGCTTTAGAGGTGGCCTCTAGCTACATTTGTCTTTTAGCAAGTTTTGTTGTCACAAACATTTTAAAACCAATAATTTACCTAAGATAATTCAGGTTTTATAACAGTGGTGAAATTTGTCAGTTTGTTTTTACAACAATCTTGGAAGGTAAAGGTTGTGTAACCTGAAACGAGGATGAAGATCGAGGCTCAGCTACGTCTTACCAATCACCAGGTTTACATAAGAACATTTTCACTTCAGCTGCAGMGGAGAGATGGGGACAAAGAGCCGTTCAGAGGGGAGAGAATAAAACACATCAGCATCACCTGCTCAGACAGGAACAAACCATGACTGGATGTTAAATTAAAAAAGGTGAAGCCTGCAGAAGGTGCTATATTGGTTTACACAGCCAGGCAGCGGGAAAAATCAAGACAGAATAAAGGATGGAGGACTTCTGCTGTAAGACAACAAGCAGCTTTGAGCGAGACTGAGGGAGGAAAGACTGAGGGGGTAGACCCTGCAGAAACCCCTCAAACTTTTCCACATTTTCCACTTCAGAGTCCTGATCCAGGATCTGGCTCTCTGATACAACAAGTAGCCTGCTGTTGTTCTAGAGAAGATACTGTATTTGGCTATTTTTAGCTAGCACTTTGGTAATTTTAGCTTTTAGCCACATTTTTGATACCATTGGCTGTTAATTAACATTTTGCTACTTGCAGCAAATATTTTGCTACTTTTAGCTTGCATTTAGTTTACTTTAGCTTTAGCTAATTTTAGCTAGAACTTTGTTAAATTTAGACACTTACGACCACACACTAGTTGAGTAAATGTAAAGCAAATTTCACGTTTATTTTAAAGAAAATGTTGATATAACTTGATTAAGTAAATCCAACAATCTGTTTTTTGAGTGTTGTTGAGGTTTGGAACCTAGACAGGTCAGTAAATCAAGAGCTCTGTTTTCAGTGTCAGTGTTAATCTGATAAAACATCATTTATTGAACAGTAAACAGTTTAAATGTGAGCATTTAGTGCTGTTATAAGCTTGTCACAGAAGACTCTGTACCGTTCATGAACGTCCTTCATCCTCTGTAATCTGATAAACATCCAGTCCTCCAATCCGTCCACATGTAAGAACCGCCGAGGCCCGAGGACGCCGCGTCATCACATCTGTCAGGACAGCTTCCGATCATCATGCTCACTTACACCGTTTCACCTCTGACCTCTGACTCAGACAAGTTTCTAATAAAAATACAGCAGAAAATATTGTTTTTTTTTGTCTTTTGTTTATTATTAGACAATAAGGATGACTTCATGAATCTGACATTTGGAAACATTAATATCTTTAAAATAAATTATTCAGCAGATAATTTGTAATAATAGGCTAATTTAAAGGAAGTCAGGCAATACAAAAAGCTTAAAAAATATTGTAGCTGATAAATATTTCATTGATTTTAGCTTTTATAAAACGCACCGACAAACTAAACCTGCTTCTCCCTGCAGGCCAGACAACAGCAAGAACTTGAATTAATTAGAACAGAGAACACATTACATTTTTATTCTGCAGTATTTAYTTTTATTTGTTTAATTTGTCTGTAGGGCCAGCAGAGACTCTGATGGCACAGAACCAAGGGTAACCCATTGCACCGACGCSCCAAATTCAGACCCTTTAGGTGATGTGCACGTGTGTGTGCGCAGGTGTGTGTGCATGTAAAGAGTGTTGAACGTGTGTGTGAGCGCCACTGTGTTGTTTGTAATCTCAGCTGCTGCTGGAGGCACAAGAACACAAAAAGGAAACGGTGCTGCCGGTTTATGATAAATAGCCTTTTTCTTGCCACAGAGCAGAAAAACCACMGAGTCACCCTCAGCCAGGCCAGCCTCACAGAGCTTACACGCGTGACATTTACCCAGACAGAGTTTATTTGTTTTACACGGAGCCAAAGCCTGTTTTTTTCTGTCATCAAAGTGTCACGATCCGTGTGTGTTTCTGTTTTGAGTTTGTTTTCCTGTTTATTTTTGATCAATATTTTTCATGTTTTCTTTGTATTCAGTTTGTTCCATGGCCTGAAGTGTTCTATGGAGTGGCATGAGGGCCAAAATTAAGACTATTACACACCCAGTGGTGGCTACGTCCTTGTAGCAGGAGGCTACATCTACAGTATTCAAAAGCCAGCTACTGATCTGATTAATGGTCTGTTAGCATTGGAGAGGCTAACAACTAGGCAGGTTACCCAATGGATTGTAGGGTTGAGCAAAATCATGTCGTGTGCAATTAATCGTCAGAAAAACTTTACTCAACTACTTTTTGGCACTTGACAATTAATACGATTAATGCCACCAGGCAGATTGAGTGGAAATTTCCACATTCATTCCGCTTCAAATATGACAAACATTAAAAAACTAAATTAATCAAAAGTTCTGCAATTTATTTGTCATAACTCCGGTTTAACTTGGTCTATCAACACAATTTAAAAATCTACGTATGTATAGCCTGAAGTCAGTACTTTTGACACAATTTGGAACAGATCTTTATGGAGAGCAAATCTTTCCCAGTCGAGTGATTTGATTTGGTCAGGTGACTAGGACGTGTGGGCGTCCAGGGACTCCAGGAGATTAATCATCMTATTAATTGTTATTGGCTAAATACCACAATTAATCATGATGAATTTTTTTGCCAATATCGCCTAACCCTGCTGGATTGCCTACTTCTTCTGCTGTCCATTAGCACAGATAGGCTGGCTTTAGTATTTAAAATGCTAGCTTTAGCATTGGATCGGCTGGTGTTGACATTAGATAGCTGGTTATCCACTGAGTTGCCTCTCTTGAGTATTAGGGCCAGACTAAGATAATTTTTATAAAGTTACAAAAATGAAGTCATAATATTGAAAAAAAACGCGAGAAAAAATTATTTCACAGGAAAAAAGTTTTGATAGAGATTTCAAGATTTGATGTGACCAGATCAGCCAAGTGGCCCAGTGGACAGATTTTAATTAAACTCTCAAAATCAGCCTGATTAAAGACGGCCAACAAAACAACCACAAAAATGTCTTCAACTAATCATTTTTACATAAACAAATGAGCCAAAATTTGGTGTGGTAKTWGCTGAGAGTCATTWACAATGCTAACAGATCATGCTTCTAGTTGTTCAGGTGTATCTTTCTGAAGGAGTGTATTAATCCCTAACAGTTGTTGTCACAAAGAGACTAAAATCAGAAATATTTAGCGCCGCTCAGCGTCAGGAACATCTAACCTTGGTTGTAATGCGCCTCATGTCAGGTCACAGAGGAAGCTGAGCTGAATACTAACGAGCTAACCTTTTTAACAAAAGTCACAAGTTTTTGTTGTTCAGAATCTCTGCGGCTCATAATGACTCACGCTGTGAGTCACTCTCAACCCGAGAGCTCGTAATGACGGCATTCAGCCCACCTTTGCCCGTCAGAGTCAGGGGAGCGTGATGCACGCAGAGCGAACAAGTTCAGAACCACGGACTGTTGTCAGGGATACTTTAGACGATCTGCAGATTGAATCCTACAGAAAATATTAACTAAAGATGGAAAATCATGAATAATGGAGGTCGGTGGGTTCTCATGTTCAGCTAATTAAAAGAGTGGATGGTCGGTCAGCCTCACACTTTTCTTCTTTCTTTTACTGACATTTTGCAATTTAACTGAAAGTTAGTAAATCTAAAAGTAGCAAAGCATTAGCTACAAGTGCAAAAATGACATCTAAAAGTGAAAAGTATTTAAAAACAGTTAAAGGCAAAAATTAGCCAAATAAAAATTAAAAGCTAAAGGAAGCAAAATAATAATGATAACTAAATGCTCAAAGTCACACAACACTTACTGCATGTAGCAAATGCTTGGAAAAAGYGAACATAATAGAATGTGAGGTCAAAAAAATTATTAAGTACAGGTCACCAAAYGCCAATTAAAGCCTAAAAATATCTAAATGCTAGCTTAAAGTGGAAAAATGCCAGCTAAAAGTAACAAAGCATTAACTAAAAGCAAAATATAGCTAAATCTAAAATGAACATATTGCTAAGTAAATGTTGTCATGTGTTAACTAAACAATAGAAGCAGTCAAATGCTAGCTACAAGTAGCAGTAACAGAACAGTAGTAACGTAACAAAAAGATAACCAAAAGCCAAAATTAAAGAAATTCTATTAACTAAAATAGTAAAAATACATATTAAAGCTAAACTCGCACTGACAGACAGACTGATGGATTTAACCTTAGTTTAATCTTTACGGCTGCATCAAAAGCTGCCTCTGTGATTTAAGGCCCTGCAGAGATATCACTGCTCAACAGACGGCTCCGCTCTTCTTCCTTTTCTTTTAATAACTCTGCGTCAGCAGGAAAGCAGCAGGCGTCCTGAAAGGTCAACCTGTATCCATCGGCTGAGAATGACTGAACGTAACGGCCGATGTGTTTGGAATCAGGATGGCAGGTTTGAAAAGAGAGCCGGGATTCCAGATGTGAGAGAAATCCCCACATCTGTTTCGGTTCTTTAAAGTTTTAATATGAAGTACTGGTCTGTCTTTCTTCAATGTAAACACTCGTGCCCGCCAAAATGACTGTTCAGTTTGTTTAATCTTCTCAACATCATCTCGTCATGGAATCCCTTTTATTTCACAATAAAACGGCACAAATCACGCCTCCACAAACAGGGAGGCAGGTACGGTTGTTCCTCCACACACAGAGCAGTGTGGTCAGTAGATCAGACCGTGCGGCGGGCCGGCTGTATGAAATGATGAAGTGTTTCTCATTATGTTTCCAGTTTAGCTTCATGGGAGCCGAGCAACATCGATTTCCACACAAACAGAAGTTGTTCCGTTTAATTATTCAAATCCAACTTTAACGCTTTCCTTCGCCCGTTTGACTAACATTGACTAACAGCGGCACGCAGTCAGAATTTATTTAAATATCTGTGGTTCTGGCTGTGTTTCCAGGAGTTTCTTAGGTTTCTGATCTGAGTGGAGGTGGGTGGTGCCACTTCTGGATTCAGAACTTTTATAATTTTGAACTTAACTTTACTTCAAAACAATTTCTTCATTGACGTACATTATGACCTCTTCAGTTACTTAAACGTTATTACAATTAAAATTTATTGTTTTCCTTTGTCGGGCTACTTCTTGTTTTAAGCTAACGTTCTTCTGTCTTTGCAATTATGCTACTTTTAGCTTACATTTTCACCACCTCTCTGTTTTCTGCTACACTTAGCTTTTAGCTACTTTTTAAAAACTTTTTAGCTACCTTCAGYTACTTTTTTACTACTGCTCTTACCTACATTTGTGCTGCTTTTAACAACATCTGAGATATTTTTCAGCACAGTTCTGATGCTTTTAGCTACATTTTTGCAATTTTTAGCTAGCTTCTTGTTACTTTTAGTTTTTAGCTAGGCTTTTGCTACTTTAAGCATTTAATTACAATTTTGCTACTTTTTGTTTTTTGCTACATTCTGTTACTTTTAGCTACATATTAGTTCGTTTTAACTCTTAGCTATAATTGATAGTTTTGGCATTTATCATTCTGCTATTATAAACTGGCATTTTAGTACATTTTGATTTCAGCTAGCATTTTAATGCTTTTAGCTATATTTTGTTTTTTATACCCCTTTTATATTTTTATGTACTTATTATATTTATTATTTATTCATTTTTATTATTTTCTGATTCTTTTAGGTTATAATTCAGTTACTTTCAACTGCACTTTTGTTAGTTTAAGTTTTAGCTATAATTGTTATACTTTTAGCTTTTACCTGAGGACCAGAGACACCTTTAACTCTCTGTTAGAGGACAAAAACTCTGACAGAGAGAAATAAGCCAAAGTTCTGCATCATCTTCTGTCCTGATCTCAGTGTCGGGGGCGAATGCTTGATCCCGTTCTTGGTTATTTTCCAAATTATTACACTTCCAGTGGACGGTGGGACACTAATCAGCTAAATCTGCCAACACACCGCCCACACACACACACACACAACACACATACACACACCACACATTTACACACACACACACACACACACACACACA